TAAACCCTAGGGCCCTCAACCCTAGAATCACAACAACAGCAACAGCAACATTGACAGCAGAATAATAGTTCAACAATAATCTCTAGTGTTACTGTCTACGGTTATGATCATAATAACGATTCTGATACTTCTGCGCCGGTTTGTTTTGCTATGACTGATAACAATGCCGGCATTATGACCGTTACTGTGATGAATAAGAGAGACAAAGGGGTGTACTGCCATCCAGTGCTCGAGCTCATGTAGAAAGCCACAACGAGCAAGCATCTTCAAACCACCGGGAAGTGCGGAAAAGTGCGCATCCGCGGACAGAAACCATAACTATGTCACCGATAGCTGGCTACTTTTTTTTTGTGTGCAATCATCGGTTTTGTCTGCAACACGCCCAACCTCGTCTAAACCCAGTGACGAACGACTCCCCGTCAACGCACAGGGTTGCGCTGCACGGTTTCAGCTGGACTGTCACTGTTACGCACACCACACGCTGGAAGGTGAAAGCAGAAAGCTGCTGCAGCAACATGTAACAATCGGAGAAGCACTTCCTCGCTGAACCTTATGCAGCTTCTGCAAGCCGGCGATCATTAGCAATGGTCAGCATCGGAAAGGCTAAAGATGCATGAAGACCTGCTGAGTCAAACAATGCTTCAAGTTGATAGTCGAGAACCGTGCTTGATGTACAGCAAGTATGTATGCGCTTCAACGGGATCTGATGGCTATCGGACTCAAGACGTAAACCGTTGCAAATCTCATGACTGTGGGTAATGTGGGGTAGGGGATTCATCAAACTCCGAAATCCGCCCTGACTTGCTTCTTGTTCTTGAATGCTGAAATGACATCGAAGTTACACAGCCTCTTAGCATTTTGGATTTGGCATCATCATGGAATGCTTTGCATGCGGACCAGTCCTTCGCTTGCCTGCTTTGCTGGCCACATGACTGTGTCTCTGCCAAAACATGAACATATTCTTAACTTAACTCTTGACATGTCCGCATTTCTTCGGGCATCGCTCCTGCTTCATCCCCCTGTTCGTGATCCGCGCCTGATTTGAAGCTACTGCCACGGCAAGCTGGTCCACGAACAGCAGAAGAGAGGTGATGAAAAGGTCTCCACCTGCATATGCCACCACACGACAGCATGCAGTGTCAGTATACAGGATTGCAGACTGGCCCCAGTCCGGCATGCACTTTAGCCTAGATGATGTTGCGGTGGCCTTTTTCTTCTCTGTCGAGGAGCACCACTTCACAGACGCCACGGATGTTTGCTCCGTACCTGGAATCAGTGGTGACATGTGTGATGGGCCGGGTAGTGTCTATCACTTGTGTTGGAGTCCCTGACAAGGTGGCTCGCCCATTAGTTCTTTCCCTCGCTCTCTCGCCCTTCTTCTTCTTCATCTTCTTCTTCTTGCTGGCTCTTGGGAAGTTTTCGCTGGATGCCACACAGCACTCCCTCTCCCGCTCTCTGGGTAGCCTCCTCCTACCAGTAACTACCGCTGTCTATTTTGATCACCTTACTCATGACGTCTCCCGTATGTACTGAACTGACCGGCCTTTGGTAGAGTTGAGATTCAAAGTCGACGAAAGGACGCACCTCGCCCAACTCTCCTCGGTTCTTCAGGCTGCTGTTCTGTTCCGCAGCACGAACTGATTCTCATGCGTAGCACGACAACTAGGAGGAAGGCTACCCAGTTTTTGTTCAATGGGATGTCATCAGGCCTGCCTAGAAGGATTGTTGGGTTCGTGGTAGCCCTCTCGTAGCGATTCGATTGTTTCCCCGCTGAAGATGCCACAAAAGACACAACATCTTGTGTTGCCACGACTCCAAAGAGTAGACGCGGTAATCGCAGACGTCGCCGTGCACGCCGGCGCTGATTCGCTTCGTTGTCGTTTAATGTGTTGGTCGTGGAAGCAAGGCCAGTTCCGACCTGACTACGCAGCCACCGGCAGTTTGAAATATCTGCTAAATACAGTACCGCAGAATGTGTGTATATCAAGATACACACACACACACAAGCACGCAAAGAAATGTACAGTAGTAGGCGTGCACACGCGCGCGCACACACACACACACACGGACACACGGATTCATGTGTATATTCGCGCCTCACCAATGGCGGTGCCAAAGGCGGCAACGGGCTTCACAATGCTTCCCGCGACTCCTTTGGTCAAGCCTCCGACAGGCTAGCCCAGCAATGCCTTTGTAATGCAGGAGGCCTAAACTTCTCTTCCCGGACATCAGAACTGACTCTGTACTATTCAAGACGGAGCCTGTAGCGAAGCCCCATAGCCCTTCTTTCTGGGCGCCCTCCACTGGCTTCTTCACAACGTCGAACATACCCTCGACTCCTGGCATCGACCATGCCCATTCCAGTCTTTTTGGAGCATCGAAGCCTCTTTCAAGCAGAGGCGGGCTCACCATCCATCAGAGTCTTGCCCGCTGCGGCGAAGCCCTGACTTGCGCCGGTGATGGTCTTTTTCTCTCCTTGGGTCACAAGAAACACCACGGCTATTGAACTTGGCCCGGCCAAAAGAGTCGCCAAGCTTCGGTTCTTAGCGATGTACTCGTCATCCATAGTAAAGTTCCTGTGCAGTGAGAGGGGTGCTGAAGGACACACCAAACAATTTGGATATGCAGATGCAACAAGCGCAATAGGCATCGGCACATCGTGCACGCTTCCATGCCCACAGAACGGGAAATGCAATCGCTAGACAGTATAGTACCAGCGGCATACTCCTATCCGGTAGCAGCTAAGTGTTGACATGCCAAAACGTTCGAACTCGTGAACGCCGCTTGAAACAACTCGCGCCTGAGAAGTGACGCTGCCCCGGTCGTCACGTCAGTAAGCTTGTCGCCCATGACTGCCACAACTGCACCACCCAGCTTTAGTGGAGCCTTTGGAAGATTCAGCAGCGAGCTTTTGCCTGCGACGCGAGACTCGGAATCCCAACCGTCCCAAACCCCTGCTTGAGCTGTGTGGCTGTGCATGCCTCGTCTGCAGATAATAATAGTCATAGGGTTGGGGCAGGCTTAGGAGATCGACATAGTACAGCTTTCCCGTGCAGACGCCTAGAAGTGAGCCAAGATGAGCCAAGATGGAAGTGCTGTAGTCGCTGACGACAGCCATGGCATAGTCCTACCACAAAGCTTCCACTGTGTCAAAGCAAGCTTCATGAACCATGCAAAGGAAAATACACATGGTGCAAGATGCCACGTGAGTAGGAACAGCAGCAACATTCTGAAAAGCAAGGCCTGCAAAGATCCCCGGTGAGGCTCGAGATGTCGAGCAGGGAGGAGGAGACCCACCTCTTCAGGTGGGTGTCGCGCCATTCCTTGACCAGGCCTTTCCAAATGCCAAGGAGCCCCATCCAAGGTGAAGTAGCTGCTGAATGAAAGTACTTTGAGCGCCTGAGAGCTAGCAGGGGCTTGCAGCTGTCACGACATGCTATGCAGGTGCTCGCACGTCTGTATTTCCACTGCATAGATAATGCATCAGCACTCAGTCCGTCCCAGGGACTGTGCGAACATATACCGGCAGGAATTCCAGATACTTCAGTCGAAGTGAGCACCACACCTTTGTTTGGGTTCGTGAAACCATGCTTGGAAGAGGCATTCAAGTCTAATCAGCTGGGACTCCGTAGTGTCGACCGCAGAAATGTTCACATCTTCTGCCTGTACGACAGCCGGGACATCTGGCGGAATGTAGCCATCCTCGGTGACAGCCCTGCGGGCAAACGATCCAAACAACTATACAGCTGCAGAGAACCATGTAGAGCCATCCGGAGTGAGGGAAGCAGCTGGGCTTCGGTGATGGGCTTGCCGGCGACGTTCAAGAGCTCTTCTGCCACGACCCCGAAGAGGTCGAACCCCCCTTGGCAGGATCTTTCGAAATGCTGAGTTGATGTGAGGCCGACGATTGCATGACTTGGCAGAGCCTGGCCTGCGCCGAACGTGTGCGAAAGCCACTGCTGCAACGGAGTCAACCACTTCTCGTCCACGGTGAAATCCAGTTTGTCGACATCAAGCTGCGCTGCGCTGAGCAGCAGATCCCTGCAGATCACTGAAGTGGCTCTTCTATTGGTACCGGAGAAGAAGCTCGTTTGCATGGGAGCCTGGACGAAGTGGCCTGTCGAGTCATCTGGAACTGCAGGAAGGACTTTCCCCCTGACACGACGAGAGGCAAAGCAAATCCAAACCCGGCGACTGGCCCTCGCAACCTTCGACGGTGAGGGATTTCAATGCGGAACTTAACAGCTGCCGTCCTGCGGAATGGTTGGCCAAAATGACTGCCGGGAGCTCCTGGCGTCACAGCAGCGTGCGTCATACGGGATGAAATGGACGCACCTGGCCGCTGGCCTGATTCTGCAACAAGTTTTCGTGCAACCGCTGGAGCTGGCTGGGGTCCAGCATGTTCACTTTGTCCTCAGCTCATGCCCGGACAAGAAGTCCGCGAAAGCGGAAGCGAACTCTGTCAGACCAGCGGCCAAGTCATTTGTCCGATCTGGCAGCTGGCAGATGCCCTGGACCTGCGCCACTGCAACGCACAAAAGGAGTGCACAAGCGGAGCGTGCAAGACTGCTGGAGCTAGGTTCCAGACGGAAAAGCAGTTCGCAGCTATACAGAGCGAACTTAGTATATTTAGTCTGGTGCCGCAGTGATCAGCTTCATTTCCCTTCTTGAACTGCGGGCCTCAGAAACAGACACTGTGAGCTTCTCCGAATCTCGGGCGGCATCCTGCAGGAGCACATCGCCGATGCCGAGGCGATTTTGCAGAAGCAGCTAGAGCTCAGGCGGGAGAACTTCAAGGAACGGTGCAAAGGGTGATGCCTGCCTGCATGTACTCGAGACGAAGCATGTCCAGGGAGAAGAAGAACAGCTCGCAAGGCTGAGGGGGGCTCTCGTCGATGAGCGATATACCGGCACGGCCCAGCTTCACGTGCAGCTCAAAAGTGGCCTGGAAGGCCTGATCTGGCTCAGGCTGTGTCCGCGAGTATGTGCCCCGCAGATAGTTGTTTTAAAAATCTACCCACCAATCATGAGAGCAACAACCTAAACCTCCTTCCACCCAACCTTGAGCTGTAAACCTCTCTATATCCCATAGACCCGCTGGCCTCAGACTTGGCTTGAACTTGCTGCTTCTCCTGCAGCTCTTCGAGGCTCAGCTTCGTGGTCTTCCCGCTGCGCATCACGCGGAGGGCAAGTCCTCTGATCCAAACGTCTAACCCCCATGATACACGGAAGAACATCACAACCGTAAGTCTAGACATACGCTTAGAAGTATCATTTAGTCGCGACCCACTTACTAATGTGCTTCTTGTTCCTTTAGACGGTGCGGTCGACTCAACTGATTTCTCTTCCACGTCGCTCGCTTTCTCTCGGTCTGTCTCTCTTTCGGCATGGTTGCTGTTCAGTGTGTAAGTCTTGATTGCAGTACCCACCATCTTCATGGCTGTTAGACTGATGAGTACAAGACGTAAACACTTTCCTGCGCACACACGCGCATGCATACCATCCATCCCAGCCCACATCCCTCGCCCCCGCCCAAACACACGCAAAACAACAAAACACACACACACACACGCACGCACACGCGCACCCACACACACACACACACGCGCACACACACACACAAACACACACACACACACGCACACACGCACACACGCACAAACACAAACACACACACACACACACTCTCTCACACACACACACACCCGCGCGCGCACACACACACACACGTGTAGAAGTGTGAGCCGTGCGAACACTCAGACTCCTAGAAACAGACACGTGCACCTACGTGTAGCTGCACGCTTGCAGCTCCATGGACGACAGACTCGTGTCTGCACTGCATGAGTGCGTTTTTCTCAAAGGTCTTTGCCACATAAGTGCTTCTGTAATCAAACTGCATCGACCATCACGGAGCTTCCTGTGCTTTTGTGCAAGGCCTTGCAGGGACGTTCAGTGTTGTAGGGATGTTTCGCACCGGCCGCATGCAAATGGCAGCAATTGAGTCGAGACAAGGATCCCGGCGTCTTCAAAGGCCGTACCGCTGTTCTCTGAAGATCTGGAATGTCAACGATCTCCTTGTCCACAATCACACGGACAGCCTCACGGCTCAGAACTTCAACGAACATTCGTCGTTAGTCCTTGTGGTTGCCGTGCTCTTCAGCGATGCAAGACAAGTTGCTCGAGACCGCTTGCCCGAGAAGGGTTTGCACCATCCGATCGGAACGCTCTCTCCACCTGCCGGACTCTGGAACTCTGGCCACTGGAAACTGTTAGGTACAATCGAGTTCGAAGCCTAAACCTGGGCTGCGAGCATGAGATTTGATTTACGAACAAAATCTAGCACCAATTCTCTTCGTTTTGAGGGTCTAGGTCTGGGAGGCATGTGCGGCCCACCATGGACCCGTGTCATTCATTGGTCAAAATCGTGCCAGCGGTTGTAGACGCTTCGCCCCTGGTCAAGCTAGACAGCACCCTTCCTATCTGACAGGGGCTCACCATTGTGCGAACACAGTGTGACGCATCACCACATCCCCATATGAAAACATACATAAGTTACGAGGTGTGCAGGCCGTAGTTGCTTCTCATCGAAGTTTGGACACCCCGCATTTTGCCTTCTAATTAACATGTGCCTGCACGGCATGCGGCATGCGTGTGCGCAGAGCCGCACAATTTCAGTTAGCTGTAGTGGCCGATCAGTACGACGTTTCTCGAGCTTCTGCACTTCCTCTACACATGTGCTCTGGCTGAGCACGGCCAGCCCTGGAAGATTGAGGCTTCTCCCTCGCCCTCAGTGCTGAATTAACTGCTCTCCGACATGCACATGTGAGTGTGCCTGTGTGTACACAGGCAGAATCTGTATGTAGAAATATGTATACGTTTTGCCTCTCTCTGTCTATACTTTAACATTACAGCATATGTTACAGTATATTACCTTAAACGATGTTATATCGTATTGTTTCATGTTATATCGGCTTATGTTATGTTTACAATTGGATTTGAATCGTGAAATAATTATAGTTATAATGCAGTATGTCATATTATGTTATGCCATGTTGTACTATACTCTAGATGATATAATATATGATATTATGTTATCTTACCTTACCGTACATGATACGACATTCAATTCTATCTATTGATATAATATGTTACATTATATATACGAGAATGCTCTCAAGTCTGGTCTCTCCAGTCTTGGGCTAAAAAGATTATCCGCCTTCCTCGCCTTGATGCTTGCCGTCATGGTGCTGACTGCTGCTTGTAAGTATCGTGCCCTTGAGCCTAAAGCTAGCATAAACCCAACACCATACTATCCTGAACCTTAGCCCCAAATCCGCTTAACAAGGACTGGTAGTGCCATCAGTACCGTTGTGAACACAGCTGGCCTGCAGGCACATTGATTCTCTCGTCTGGCCGCTCCTCGTCTTGCACCTCCATCCTGCGGCGCAGTGATTAGTGGACAGAAAGAATAAGGATAATGCCAATAGTGACACTATTACAAATTATTGCAAAAAGCAGCACCCAAAATCATGACGTCAACACGACCCGGCAGTATGATTGTTTCACTGCTGTTGACAACTCCCTTCTCAAATGAGTTCTAATGGCGCAAATGCAGAAGGGTTTTGGCTATGGCAACCTGCGATGATCCACCTTCTCCTAAACATCTGGGCTTCAAGGTTTTACTGCCCATGGTTCAAAAATTAGGGTTGAGCTCACATGGATCTCGAACACAACGTTTCGCAATAGCAGGAGGCTGGCGGTTGCTACTGCTGCTACTACTCCACCTTTTACAACGAGCTGCCACCACCACCACCAGCACCAGAAAGGTGTCAATATCATGGTGATTGATGATGGTGCTACATGGGCATTTCATGGCATTTCTATGACGACGAGCAGCATCAGCAAGCTTGAACTACTTGGGGGCCTGTTCTCCAGGAGGTTGCAGGCGATGAAATCGGAGCCGGGACGAATCAGGACACCCATGCTGCCATGAAGCGGAGCCACATCAACACTCCACACCTGAGTGCTGAAGCATGTGTTCCTGAAAGCTCGCGCAGTCTAGTCTAGCAGCTCCATGGGTCCTGTGGGCCGGGCCTCGACACCACCTCCCTGGCGCTTCAACGTAAAAGGAGTGGAGCCCGCGGAGCCGTCGCTGCCTGCAGAGTCCCATACAGATTAAGCCATTTCCGTAGGAGGATCGAGGGCATTCGAAGGCTCAGGCCACTGCACAGGACAACTCCTGAGAACTCGCATTGACCTCCACCGATGGGACGGAAGCCTCGAGTTTCCACTCTCGACTGGCAAGTTATGCATGGCATCCTTCAGAACAAGGCACGGAAAGTGGTGGCCAAAGGATCCACGGCTTCCATGTTAGCCTGCAGCTCGTCACCAGCAGACATTGGCATCATGGGCGATAAGGTATGCTTTCCTCTGTCACCACCTCTCCATATGGTTCTGCAATTCACGAACTTGATCAGCACTCGAGACTGCTCGCAGCACGCGCCTTCCAGTGCAGCACCCGGGACTCGCGTGGCTTCCACCGTATCTTCCTTAGTAAGAGCAAGCAAGGAGGACTGCTGTGAAGCAAAACCAAATTGAATATCCGAAAGTGTGCGCCCTCATGATCCACCACATCTCCCTTTCTACGAGCAAGCAACCTGGGGAGGGCTGTGAAGCAGAACTGAGCTGTGTGCAGCCCAAGGTGTGCACCGCCATGATCTACCAATCTACCGCCATGATACTGCGTGTGGAACTGAGGAGACGGCATCTTTTCGGGGGTCTCGAGCTCAAGCTCCACGTCCGAGGCGTTTGTCAAGACCAGTCGAGGAGCCAGGGTGAATTGCATACAGGTGGCTCCGTGCACACCTGATGTATGGCATCATCGCAAGGACGAACAACAGACCGCGCTGGCAAGAGACCTACTTGGGTAACTATAATTATAACTATAACCCAAATTAAGAGACTTATAACCACACTTATAACTACCCATGAACCTCCAAGTAGCTTCCAGTTCTTTCCGAGCCGAGGGTCTGCTGCTCTTGATGCTGCCGATACGAAGAGTCATCTCCAGGCTTCCAGAGGGTGTGTTCCAGACGAAGCTCTCAAAGTTTGGTGGCAACTTCCTGAGCCAAAGAGCTTGAAACCAGTCAGAGCCTACTCTATACGAGTGTTCTTTCAAGGGAGCCTCTAGGGCCTTCTTTCAAGGGCCTGCTAATACCACATAAGGGTTCCTTTAGGTTCCAGAGGCTGGGACCCAGAAAGTCGTCAAGGAGAACCTCAGTCTCTGAGCTCAGCCAAACCACATGGTCCGCTTCGCTTTCATCGACTTTCCGTCAGGACCTGGTGTCAGCCGAGGATTTTGCCAGCTTTGTCGAAGGTCCGGAGTCCTACCTTTTTAACTGCGGCAAAGTAAGGGCATGGCACAAGACCAGATCACAAGGGTTCTCGAAGCAGCCAGCATGAAGCCTGACCCATAACGAAGCTACGAATGGCACGAATCAGCGGACTGCAATCACGGACTGCTGCAAACGCTGTACTGGTTAGAAACACTAAACATCGTGCCCCGTGTCTCTTAGGCTCCAGATGCCAAGCAGCAGAGTGATGCCATTGTGTGAGGGCAACTTGGCCCCCTGGTAGAAGACCTCCAGCTTGCCCAGACCCTTTTCCTGGCCGGCTAGAAAATACTAATAATATTGATATAATGCACTCTAATTCGGTGAGACGTGATAGACCTTTGTCCGAGACCATGAGAAGCCTCAGCAGCCTGAAGAGCAGGGTGAGTCCTGTCCTGCGCACCGCTGCGGTCCAGCAGCCAGTGAGAGCAGCTGACACCTACGGCGACCGGACTCACACTCGGCCAAAAGGATACGCTGCTCATCTTTCGTTCTTGCTCGACTGGGGGGGCACTGCTGTGGGCTTCGAAGGCACGCTTTTGGTTTCAACTTTCCGTGACCGATTCAAGCTTTGCGCGACGCGGCTCTTCGACACACACACACACATGCATGAGCCAAGGCACGAATCTGGCCATGACCCAAACACTCCAGGGAAACCGCGGCTGGTGCTCCGCTGGTGCTCTCCTTCATGTCTAGAATCTTGGCCTGCCCAAAAACACAGCAAGACCGTCGCACATTGCCCGCCATTCTTCCGCAAGCAACAGTAATTCCAGGGCCTCATCACCCAATACGTTTTCGGTGATGTCCACGATGTCATTGCCCTCCAAGTTTACCTGGCCAAAGATTTCAGCTGATGTGTGATGGTGCCATGCCGCCTGCTGCACCCTCACGGCTGCAAGCGAATAGTGCCAGGCATCCACATGATTTATCTTGGCCACAACTGCTGCAGCATGAAGCTGTTTTGGAGTGCCGGTGGGCCTTGCCACTCCAAGGCGCCTTGGGTGCCAGCTGCGCGGCTAAAGTCAGACCGCCACCTTGCTGGCGCAGCATGAAGCAGTATCAGCTCTGCGACTCTACGCCGTCACGGCGGCCTGCTAGGGCCCAGGCGCATCTCTTGCATGCTGAGCCCATAGAAATTGACGCGTTGCAAAGCCTCGACGACCACGGGCGGGGCTTTGCTCGAAGTAGAGGCGATGTCCAAACCTTGAAAAGCAGAGACGCTCACATGAATTTCGTGTGCAGCTCACTTCTCTTGGGGCTGTGCCAAGGGGTCCAAACGGCAGTGCGTTCCTGAGCTGGACACCAACGACCACACTTGTCCGGAATCAATGTTATGCACATCGTGGAATCAATCTCCTGGCAATGTCTAAGTGGCATCTTAAATGGCCCGCACCGGAAAGCTCGTGATAATTTCGTGCAAGACGGCGGTTGCTGTCAACCGCATGCTCTGCACAAGCCGAATCAACGCATTTGAACATGTGTCAGAAAGCATGCTGCCTGCAATGGGCGCACGTGGCAAACTATGGTTAGTTCATGTGCATCCGTAATCTACTAGCTGTTGTGGATTGCCGGCTGCGCTACTCTATTCACTATCATACTGGGAACCCTGTATCTGTATAACTTCAAACTTTCAAACGCCCTGCGGGTCACAGTGGCATCAACTGCCCCTGGGATAGACAACTCCAAGTCCTTCTTCTTCTGGGAGCACGAGCAGGCATGCTGCAGTGGAACACCACCGACTCTGACGGGCACTCACAGATTGACAAAGATTGGGTTGAAGTTTTTGAGACAGTCCAGTTTTGCCACATAGTAATTGTTAGCGGGCCTTGGCAGCGATTGCTTCGCATCATGGCGTTGACGTTTCACTCTGCGCGAATGCAACTTGCCTCTACACATGTCCATGCTATACCTCATTCCTAGTAGCGAAACATCCTGGCGACTGACGTAAAGTGGCTGATCAACACAGTTCACAGTGAAGATACTGCCTCGCACTCATTCGCACCCACTTTTGCCACCCTTCCACAACTCATCTCAACTCAGCAGCATGCTCGGCTCTAGGAATTGGATTTTATACTGTTGTGAGCAAGAAGAAGAAACAACTGCGCATCAACAGTAGCAAAAAACCCAACACAATCACAAAAAGCTATCAAATCGTTAGCACTTTGTGACAATCGATTTATCTGCAACAGCTGTAAACTCAGCTCCTCCTGCATTAGCAAAGCATGACTTGCAAACAATCTTGCAGCGGCCAATCATCTCTTGGAAACAAGTTGTAGCAAAGCTCTCAAAGACAGAACTCTTGTCAAACCTGCTTTTCGCAGCCGGGGCTCATGAACACCATGCTTGGTCTGATGGACAACGTCTTGATTTTCTGTCCATTTCCGGAGCCTCCGCACAGGTCTATTCAGAAGGGCCTCCTTGACAAATCGTAAATCAGGACAATTGAAGAAAGCAAGCCCGGCCTATGTTTTCGCTGCCTTGCACGACCAGGAAGTGTAGCGGTACAGGCCCGGCGTGAGGGTAGCCACTTCTTGATGACCCAACCCCTGCCAGCACATCACATCCGAGAAGAGGGTAGATCTCAATGCTAGAAAGCAGGTGACAGTAGCTGTACCTCCCCATGAAAAGTTTCGCTAAACCAACAAAACGATGACGATGGTGATAAAGATGATGATGAATAGGGTTGGCAAGCCTATCGGTTGTTGAATGGGATGAATCAAGGACATTCTTATTTGTCAAACTAAAGGGGTACAAGCATTATCGCTGCACGAGCATGGCTAAAACTAACACATATGCGAGCCTTGACACGATCCGAAAGGCAGGTTCTAGTCATGTCTAGTAAAGTACCGAATACCGGCAAGCGAATGGCGGCATACAGGCGGCAGGGAAGCTACATGATCATGGTAATCAACATGGTCGTGGAGGGTTACCAGTCAACATAACGCAATGGCCGTAGCAGCCTCAACCAAAACACATGCACCATACCTGCAGTGGAGGGTATGACAGTCGAACACCAGGAGAAAACACCATGAACGCGACAGCATCCTGCGGCACCCGTCATCAAGAAATCGCGCGAATAACAATGTGGAGGATTGACTGACGAATAAGCTAAACTTTGCCTGAAAAACTGGGTCTTTGGCGAGTTCATTCGTAGACGCATGCATGACTGAGCAAGCGAGAAAAGCTACTGTAAAAGGGGAATGTGCGCTGATCATAACGAAGATGGTGATGATCGAAACACCAAAGAACATCAAAGGAGTAGCAAAAGCTTTAATGCTGCAACAGCACCAACACCGAAAAGAACAAGCAGTAAACCGCACCTCTGACCTAATTCTGATGAATCTTCCTCGTACCAGCAGCGTGAGAGTTGCTGTCAGTGTTACAATGAACCCGAAGCCCCCCAAAACGGCAGACCCTACAACCCCTAAAGCCGTGCCCACGCGGCCTTCTTCAACCAGAACTCTGGCACTGGGGCCTTCAGAAAAGCCCGGAGGAAAACTCAAAAGCGGGGCGGTTCCTGCAAGGAATCTAAGGGTTCTTTGCAATTAGGCAAGGCCCCTGGGACGGCCCTAAACCCCAAGGCCCGGCCTAACTTGCAGGAGAGGCCCTCCACGATCTTCCGGCCCACGGAGCTCGGCTGACTGAAGTCCACGTCGGGGAGGCTCCAAGCTGCCGGCCGCAAACCTCGGCGATTTTTTCCGAACAATGATGAGAGGTTTAGGGTTTCGGGTTTAGGGACCAGGGTAAGACTTGTAGAAAACGAGGATAAACATCCGAGGAATGACGGTAATGAGAACAACAAGAACAGTGATAACAATACGAATCAGTTGCAAAAAGCTGGTAACACTAACACTCAGAAGAATGAACACAGTATAGGAATAATTATGATACTGATGATAATAACCGTATTAAAACATTATAGTAATGGTAATATAGGCGCCTGCGGCGCCTTGAGAATCAGAGTAGGGTTCTGTAACAGCGTTCACGCGGTTTTTTGTCGGTTCAATACAGGGGCCGTAAGTAGAACAGGGTTTTAGGGTAAGTTAGATAGAATATGACAGGCATCGGGACTTAGGTTGAATATGATAAGAATAGGGGCTGTGAGGGATCCGGGATACTATTACTACTGATGCCGGCCATAAACTTATGTGCTCCAATGGTAGACAAGTAAAGTCTTCCCTGGGTCCAATTTGGGAGTTTCCCAAAACAAGGGACCCTGAATAAGCACCCTACGACCATGAAGTAGAGCTCTTATTAGAAGGACCCTGAAACAAGGTAAGCCTAAGTATGAGGATCCCCGTGTCGTGCAGACGAGCTTCTGATGATTGTCCTGTCGCCACTTTTTCCGTCCTGCGCCGTGGCTGCCGCCGGCACCGCACAGATACTGTTCGGTGGAAGGCAAACCCACCTCAGCACGGCAGACTTGCAGGCTAGAAACAAGTGCGGGTGTCTTCTGAAACAACATCGAATCCATGAAGCGACACACGCGTGACAATTCAACAAGGCCTCAACAGGGGCCGGCCTGGAACACGAGAAGGTTGCAGAGCCATATGACATTTGATGTGCTAACAGAAGCATAGAACAGGCTGTGTTGTATGAACTTCTTCAGCCAGGAAGGCTCATTGTCAGCGCTCTTGCAGCTGGCAGCTTGGGGCTCTGCAGCTGCTGGCTCACACCTGCGTCACGGGAGGAGGCAGACTCGTTAAAAGGCAACTCCCATGTAATGTCATAGAACAAGATGAGCAGCTCAGACTTCAGTCCCAGAAGTGACGCGTTGCAGATCGCGGAGTCCAAATGCTTGATGACCTTCAGTTGGCGACTAAAGTACTCTGCAAAGCTGGAACCTTGCATACAGTTCTTGAGCGGCTGAAGATGGTAAGATGCGCCTGCCCACTGGCCAATGGACACTATTGTGCGATGATTCATGGAATTATGTCAGAACTAGCATACCTTCTCAAGAGCGTCCACGGCGTGCCCTGCATGTGAGTGGAAGGCCTCTCCGCTCCAGAAGTTCTCGATTCATTTAAAAATAGTGAAACCCTTCGTATAACCTTCCACGGTGCAACAAAGCCACCGTCGCTCGGGCTTCTTCGTGAAAGCGTACAGCCAGCATCAAGTCCTCAGCCGGAAATGGGCAGATCCGTGAAAGAACCTCCTTGAAGATCGGTTAAAGGTATCTGGACCTCAGGTGGCCACGGTCTCGTTGTGGAGTCGTAGAGCGGGTGCCAGCAACAGTAGCCGGTGATCCGGCTGAGGTGTCAAGAGCTGGGCGACGACACGTCCTCGCTGAGCCGGAGGTGCTACAGACAAAAGGCAAACTAATATGCGATAGACGAAAAATGAGAGACTGTATCCCAACGTGATACACTACAATATGACTTACTATAATGTACTAACATACTACAGCCAACTTTTATATAACAAAACGAGAGGCCCGCGCAGTCTGGTACGACCACCGCGGCATTCTGCTCGAACCACAGCGGCTCTGAGAGCTTCTCGGAGCCAAGGACCCGCACCCGCAAGCTTCGCCTCGCTTACTTACCTACTTACCTACCTTACTTACTGATATATATATATATATGGGTGTTGA